CATCAAAAGACAGGGTAAACAGACAATTGACTCTCTAACCCAATATCTCCAGCAAATTTAAAAAGAACAGCAAGAAAACCCGACACCCTTTAAGAAAACTGAAATTATAAAAACAAGAGCAGAAATAAATGAAATAGAAAACAGAAAAACAATTGAAACTATCAACAAAACTAGGAGTTGGTTCCTCCTTCTCCAGCAAAGCATCTGGTGGATTCAAACCATGTATCTCTGAGATTGCAGTTGCAGCTTCTTGCCACTAGGCCACCAGAGCTCGCCACTTAAAGTTACAGCTCTTAATGAGAAGACACTGCTCATCTTTCTCCCTCAAAGCAGCAGTGGGATTCGAACTCCTGGCCCTTTGCTTTCCAGCTGCAAGCAGGAACACACAGTACACCTCAGCCTCTCCTGTTTATAACACTCAAAACGCAAACTCATTGTCACTGAATCCAGAATAGCCTGGTGGGTTTTCTGGGCTTAGAAATCACATGGGAAGTGATGGTATAGCTTCCTTCCAAGAAGCAACTTGCTGGATTTGAACCCCTGAGAGAAGTAACCCCTTTGTCTGGGCAGTGAACACGTAAAGCTGGTGAATTGATCGGTGCCTCTGAGCTGTGGTGCTGGAGAAGAGTGCTGAATACCTCACAGCCGGAATGCAGCCAGGGATCAGATCTAAGGGGTCATAGTCAACTTAACAGCATCTAATCCCCACAAAAATGATTTATTTTAATTTCTCAGGGAGATGTTTCACTTGATATCTCCCATCATTCCTAGATGGGAATGTTGGGGGTGGGGGTCCACTCCCTATTTGAGGTTGCCATCAGCCAGACCAGTGTGGGCCAGCATAAAACAGGTCTCTGTTAAGTTTTCAGGGGCTAGTTGTTTTTTTTTTCATGACGAGATTGCCTGGACTTTACTCCATGATATGCTATTCACGTCTGTCCTTTGCTCCCACATCTCCTGCCACCGCCCTTCACCCAAACCCAGCCAGTTCCCACAGAGTCCACCCCATCCTGTGGGGGCCCCCAAGTGGCCCAGGCTGGATCTGCCAGCCCCTGGAGTTTTCAAATATGATGGGCTTCCTGGAAGGAGGTTGCCAGGCCTTTCTTGCTGGTGCTTCTGTGAGCAAACTTGACGGTGAGCGTCTTCACCTGAGTTCCTGAAGGTCAGGACCTCCTCACAGGGGTTCTCTGAGGACTTCGTCTGCACCTTCAGCTCGGCCCCTTGGTGCAGAAGCATGCTTGCGAAGAAACAGAAGTGAGAGCTGTCTTTTCCAAGCTGGAAGACACAAGAGCAGAGTCATATGTGGGGGCTGGGCCCTCTTCCTACCCTCCTGGGTCCACCAAGACTTCTCTCCTTCAGAATGAACTAAAAAAAGTATACACACAGACACATGTCATAAGGGTACTCTGGTGGCTTAGTGGCAAGGAACTGCATTGCCAGCCCAAAGACAGGTGGTTCAAATCCACCAGCTGGTTCATGAGAGAAATATAACCACTTTCTTCCCGTGCCATGAACCACCTCTGAAAACCAGCTAGAGGATCAGCTGTGGGTCCATTCCATCTTGATAATAATTAATGACAACAGGTACAGTAATTCCTGAGTTTATTATTTAAAATATTTGTTTTACTTTTCAAAGAGAAGATTGTACTGAGGAGGGGGGAACTAGAAAGGTGGACAGGGAGAAAAAAGTGCAACAAAGAATGAATGGAAATCCAAAGTCTGTAAATTTTCATTAAGATTGATAATAATAATAAAAATGAAAAATAATAAAAATATTTTTAAAAAGCTAAAAGATATATTTATTTGCAAGAATTTCAGTAAGCTGTGTTGGTGTCCACACATGCATAGACAGGGTGTGTTATAACGGCATTATTGTGTGCCATTGGATGGGAATTCACTCCCCTCTGAACCTCCAGTGGGTTTTCAGAGGTTTGAAATCACACAAGAGAAGCTGGGAGATTGGAGCTTGCAGAGATGGGATGCATTTGATTAACAATGTAACTCCAGAGTGAGTCCATTATGTACGGTCACAAGAGTCAACATAAATTAAATGGTAATAGTTTGGACTCAGTTCTGCATCCTTGACACCAAGCCAGCAGCTTTTTCCATTTCATAAAAGTAACCACAATGTGAAAAAATAATAATTAAAAAAAAACCCAGTAAGAGGAAGGAAACCAGATCAGGAGGGAGATCAATAAGCCTCCCTTGACGTGGGGGCTTTGTCGCACGAGTGCTGTGGTCAGCTTGGTGCTTCCTGAGATGCCCCGTGGAGCCAAGTCAGGGACAGATTCTCAAATCTCCTAGTCACAGACAGCGGGAGTCCCAGTGTTTCCACCACAAACACGTCTTCCCTTCAAAATCATCTTTTTGCTCCAGTGGTGACATGAGATACCTTGTAACCAGCTGGGATTCATTTGTGTCCAACTCCCAGAGACCCTTCGGGATAGAGCAGAACTGCCCCATGGGGTCTCCGAGGCTGTGAACCTTTCCAGAAGCAGATGGACTCAGCTTTCTCCCTCCGAGCGGCTGGCTGGTGGGTTCAAACCCCTGACCTTGTGGTGACAGCTGAGTGTGTCCCCCCTGTGCCAGCAGGGCTCCTGAGAGTCTAGATACATAGTATCTCTCTAGTAGCCTCTCCTGATAGTCTAGATACATAGTTTCTCTCTAGTAGCCTCTCCTGAGAGTCTAGATACATAGTATCTCTCTAGTAGCCTCTGTGTGTCACTATGCACACACAGTGTGGAGGGAAGTCTGGTCTTTCAGAGAACGGACAAGCATGAGATACAGTGTCACCAGCTGGGATTTATTTGTGACTTACTCCTAACAACCTCGTATCACAGAGCAGAGCTGCCCCATGGGGTCTCTGAGGCTGTGAATCTTTCCAGAAGCAGACGCTTGCTCATTCAGAACACTCCACCTCCATCCCCTCACCCTATCTTTCTCTTCACCAAACAAATCCATTTCCCATCTTGTGAATTCCCATAACAATATACTTGGTTCACAATCACACTACCTGTAAATGTTTACCCAGGGAACTTGAGAAAGGGATACCTGGAACCAGATGGGTATGAATGATTGAATACACTCCTCATGGTCTTTTTGTAAAATGTAATACAAACTCATGAAATAGTATACAAAATTGGTGACCATAGAGGACATTATACTGAGTGAAATATCTCAGTCATACAAGGACAAATACTGCATAATGTCACTGTTGTAAAACAGGACTGACATTGGGATTGGGGGGAGACTGAGAAAGATGGGATAAATTATGTATACTGCAACAGATGAGGGAGAGAACTGTTTAAAAGGGATATGTGATTAGGTATTATTGTCAGGACAGGAGTCCAGAGCGAAGGCTGCATAGTGGAGTGGACTTGGGGAGAGGGATTGTATAACAATGAAAAAACTTTACTTTTCAAAATGAAGGCTGCATAGTAGAGTGGGCTTGAGGGGAGGGATTGTATAACAATGAAAGAGTTTTACTTTTTAAAGAGAACAGTAAACTGGGGGAGGCAGGGAGAAAAGGAGCAACAATGAATGAATGGAAATCCAAAGTCTCTGTAAACTTTCAATAAAATAAATAATAATAGAAAAATGTTTAAAAAGGGATATGTGATTAGGTATTGTTGTCATGACAGGAGTCCAGAATGAAGGCTGCATAGTGAAGTGGACCTGGATGGGTGGAGTGGGGGGAAAGATTGTATAACAATGAAATAATTTTCCTTTTACTTTTCAAAGAGAAGATTGAATTGGGGGAAGGGAGGGGTAGGCAGGGAGAAAAGAGCAACAATAAATGAATGGAAATCCAAAATCTCTGTAGATTTTCATTAATTAATAAATAATAATAATAATGGT